GTGAATTGAATTTGGGGTATATTTAACTATTCAAATCTTATTTCTCTCTGTAAATGTTGAGCTTATTTTCCACACAGTTAAAGGTTATTTTCATAGGAATTTGAAGTTGCTTCAAACCCCGTCTCTTGAACCTAATTGGAGAGTGCTTTCCTCTGCATGCACAGAAGGCAGTACTGTAAGGAGTTGAAAAATTTTTCAAGAAATGAACAATCCTTTATATACTTACATGTGCTAGTCCATAGTTGACCTGTAGCGCTAAGAGCGTTCACACAGATCTGTCCTGATTTATTATTGTTAGCAACAAATAAGATTTTCTCTCCCTCTCTTGAAAAGAACTCACAATCTGCAGACAAACTCATTTTCCGACTTGGTTTTCGGACACTAACAGGGAGGCAAGTGCGCTTCATACACTCTGAAATTGATATTCATTAATTTAATAATCAGCTAACGGTTAATAAATATAAAGCACAAATAAATTTTTGGACATTACGCCAATGAATAGAATGAATGCGTCGTATTCATTGACATTTCCTTGTGATCCCATCAGGTTTCTACATTTTCAGTGCTCACATGTAAAATTCTCAATCTTAATAATGGCTCTCTAAATTTTCTCATTCTTTTTGTTTATCTATGGTTAATTTTCATTCTTTACGCGGATCGTTCATTCATTTTCTCATCCCTCTTCTGTGCTTTTTCCATTGATTTTCACTGATTTTCTCATTCTTCGTTTTCAAATAGTCTTCAACTGACGTTTCATTCTTTTCTTTGCAATACTGCAGTTCTCCAATACTCTTTTTCTCGAATTCGATATAGTTCATCTGCTGTTTCAATTGAAACAGCAGATGAAAAAGACATTGATGTCTTTTACTATTAATACCGCATGAAATGATTGTCGCATTAATTAGGTTTTTATTCAGGTTAATGCAAACTTATGTGGCTGAAATAAGTGAAATATTACGTGCAGAAAAGCGTGACGACGAGCATTTAGCAAGGTTGGAGGCTAATTTTTCAAAACTTCTCAAGGTATTCCTTTCGTTTTTTCGTTGTTTTCTGAAAAATAGAAATAAAATTTCTGTTTGCTGTTGAATTTTAGTGATAATTCTGATAGGTCGGATGATATTAATAACGATAAATAATAACAATAGTAGCATTGCCATAATTATGTGAAAAAATAATGCAAACTGTAATTGCTGAAGTAATAATGATAATTGACCTGTATTTCTAAGAATGTTAATCAAAGCTCATTTATAGTAACATAATGTTAAAAACATTAATGCTGACAATAAGAGTATATTTCATTTATATGGTAATGTATGCAGCAGTAGCAGAATTCAGTACTGAAAATTGTGATGACAGCTATGCTATCTGAGATTAGCTTTCAAATTTCAGGACTTAGTTGGTGTGCACTCTTGGATTCGTTTCTACAGATATATACCAGTTTTTGTCAAAACTCTTTATTACGCTTGTACCACGTTATCGGGTTATTTTTATGGAGATTTTTAAACCATAATTCAGTGCAATTATTGTTTTCGTTGATCACTTTTCAATATTTCATTGCGTGATTTCCGCAAGATATGCCCATTTAATTCTCACACAACGACCCATCTGATTACGGGTAATAATTGAAATTTAGCAATTAATTTTCAGCATTCCTCAAACTGATCAAAATTTTAATTTCAGGTGTTCAAACGTTAGGTGAAGAATATTTAGCGTTATTACAAGTGAGCAGTAGTGGTGGTAAAGTTGCCGTATCGTCACTGTACAAACGTTTCGTTTTTGTGTTCTTGAACATTTTTGCACCGATTCTGTTGGAAATCTTATTGCGAAAACTAGATCAACATATCAATCAAATTGATACAAACAAATTCTTTGGTGTTCCGTTGAGAGGTAATCAGAAAGCGCGTCAAACATTCACGAAAATCTTCGACTGGATCAGGTAAATGGCTCCGAAAGTTTTTCTGAAAGTGTACCATTTGAAAATGTTTCCGTCAAAAACTATTCGTGATTGTGGAAATTTTGGAAAATCTTGTTCTCGTTGCAAAGGTCTTGCTTTCGTTATGTTTTTGTCCACTTCATCACCTCGAGGCGATTTGTTGAAATTCATTCGAATTTTGTTAAAGCGTAGAGTTAAAACTGTCGAGTTTATGAATTGTTCGATAGTGTTCATTTGAGAAATGTTAAGGTTGAAAGGAATACCGTCAGCGTATCGATTGCACATAGCCATCTTTTATCTCTACGGCTCCTATTATAGTCTGTCGAAGCGTTTTTCTGGTATCAGCTATTTGAGTCTTCGACCGCAAACCAATCTCCAGGTTGATTTTTATATTCAAATTTTTCATTTGAACCGAACTTGAATCTCAGAATTNTTTTTGTTCGCAAACGGTGATGCAAAGCATATTCTCAGGCATCGCGTTTACTCAAGTTCATCGCATATTTAACCGTTCTTCAATTTTCAATCGCTGTTGTTAGTTGGATTTATGAGAATTTCTTCTGTCAATTACTCGAACATGACAAACGTGTCGACATTGACAGCGAAAACGATTCCGAACTAATTGAATTGGGTGAATCTGAACAGAGCACTTCTGAGGTACGTTAATTCGCATACATATTTGATACGTTCATTTCGCTTGTTCCGCAAACATAAATTTGCTGCTTTTACAAGTAATTATGTCAAGTTTATTGTGTTTGATGTAATTAATTGAATCTCTGATTGTCAGAGTTAATTTCTAATCGGAAACGACTCGTGGAGTCGATCCCTTTTCAGCCGATATCGTCGTTCAGATAAATGCTGATGGTGATTTCAGTTGACTCGATTCAGCTGTGGAATCTGTCAGTCGACACACTACCCGTCTTGTTTACCGTGCGGGCATTTGTATTGTTGGTACTGTATCATTCAACATGCACACGAGTGTAGTTTAATTCAAGAACGACAACCGTATTGTCCTCATTGTAGAAGTTCATTTGAGGCCAGCCGAGTGGTACCATTGCTGAATTTCTAGCAAAGGTTTGAATTTTGAAATTAAGTTTTTGGCGAGTATTTAAGAGTTATTTGTGCAGTATTCGAAGTTGTTCATAGCACTGGAATCTGACAACTAGAAAAAAATGAAGTGAGATCTTCAAGCGCTGCACACATGGTTATTTATAGTGATTGTGATATTGATGTGCGGAAGAGTAGCAGATCAAAAATAACCTTCTTTTGCCATTAATGATCCCTTTTCANATTATGTGAGCAATGAACAGTGAGAATATTCGTAAAAACGATAGTAATAAACTCACAGCAAGTAATCTTTCAGATGTTGACAGTGTTCAATTCAGCATTGTGTCGATCAAATATTAGTGGTCTACGAGATAAGTTTGAGAAGATATCACCAACTTTAATTCGATGTCATATCCGTTATCAAATTAATCGTCGAGTTACGAGTAATGCCTCTCGACATCCAACTGTCTACTTTTCGGGTATTCAACCTACCGGTGTACCTCATTTAGGCAATTATTTTGGTTTCATTCAACCATGGTTGAGCATTCAACGTGTGAGTTGTTTAGCAGTCAGTTATAAAGAATGTCGTTTCTTAAAACTAGAAATTTTACGTGATCGTCTATAGATTCATCTGCAAGTTACATTATTCATGATTAATTCCATACTAGTTGATTTGTTTGCTTTTTTTGTAAGTCTTCAGTGAAGAATCTTTATCTGTATAATGCTTTTCTCACTCTCAATATGATTACTATCGTGTTGGTCGTTTTAGAAAGAGCCTTTGACAAGTGCGTTATTCCTTTCGATTGCCGACTATCATTCCATATCGACAGGTTTACTTCA